GACACGCCTTTTCCCTTCTTTGCAGGCCACCCAACAGATCTCCATAATAGCTGCGCGGTACCATGGGTCTAGGATGGACCTCCAGCGGGCCGAGAGCAGAAGGAAGAAGCGGAGGGGGCCCTCGTCAGAGCTATGGAGGACGTAGCTGTCAGGGATTCTACCCTGGCGGGGCAGGCTGCTCAAATCGAACAACTCCTCAAGGATGCCGAGTTGGCTAAGGTTGGCGCTGAAAAGCTAAGTGCTGCCCTTGCCGATGCTGAGGGGAGGATCACCGAGCAGACGCGGCGGCTTTCTGCCGCGGAGGAGAGGGCGGTTGGCTCAGAGGAAAGCTGTCTGGCTCTCACCCAGGAGCTGGACAGGATCAGAGCCGAGGCACTGAACAGGAAGTCGGAGGAGCAACTCCGGGAAGAGTTCGCCGATGACGTGCTCCCTGCTCTTGAGGAAAACAGCAAGGAGTTCTTCAAGAAAGGGTGGGACGAGGCGCTCCAGTCTGCTGGTATCCCGTCAGACTCCCCGCTCTTCCAGATGCACAAGTACGTGCCCTCGGCAGAGATGGAACGGGCCGAAGCAGAGATTGCTGCCGAGGATGAGATCCCAACGCCGGTGCAAGTCTCGGCGGATCTGCCCGAGGCAGTGATAGTGGACTTGTCCGAAGAGGCCCCGCCGGACCATGCCCCTGATCCTCATGTTGCTCAAGGTCTCTCTGTTGCCGAAGTACCTCTCCTTCTGCCTGCTCCAGAAGCTTCTCAACCTTTTTATGCTGACTCGCCCGCGGCTGATGTTGTGGAGATGCTCGGGGCCAGATGAAAGCCCCTTTTTCTTTTTGATTGTACCCTTTTTTTTTTCCTTTGTAGCCTTTGGGGACGCAAAGCCCCTCTTCTTGAAATAAATCATGAGTACTTTTTCCTTTTTTGCGTACAGTAGTTTTTTTTTTTTTTTTTTTTTTTTGGAACTGTCTTCGGGGGCTCGCCCATTCAAGAGGCACGCTCTTGTGTTTGCTTCGGGGACAGGAGTCCTTGAACTCTGTCCCCAGGGCCTTGCCCTTCCAGGAGGCTTGCTCCTGTATTTGCTTCGGGGACAGGAGCCCTTGAACTCTGTCCCCAGGGCCTTGCCCTTTATCTTTGTCGTTGGCAAGCACTTGAGGGAGAGAATACTTCAAAAGTAATATTTCTTTAGATTCATAACATTCCATGGTCGCATTACAAGTTTTCCATCCATGCCTTCTAATCTGTATGACCCGGCGCCCCCGATTGATATCACTTTGTAAGGCCCTTCCCAGTTAGATCCCATTTTTCCCTCTGTTGGATCACGGGTATTGGCCGTTACCCTTCTGAGGACCAGATCGCCTATTCGGAATTCTCGCGCCTTGACCCTTCTGTTGTATAGTTGGGAAATCTTCTCCTGATACTTAGTTATCCTCAAGGCGGCTGCCTTCCTTCTTTCTTCCACTAGATCCAAATCCAATACAAGTTGACGGTCATTCCCTCCTTCGTCGAAAGCTTGGGTCCTTATGGTTGGGAGCCCTACTTTGAGGGGTATGATTGCCTCCATTCCGTATGCCAGGGAGTATGGGGTTTCCCCTGTCGAGGATCGAGGGGTAGTCCTGTGTACCCACAAAATATTTAATAGTTCATCCGCCCATTTTTCCTTGGCTTTTCTCCAACCTCTTCTTGATCCCATTCATAATTGTTTTGTTGGAGGCCTCTGTCTGCCCGTTGGCTTGGGGATAGGCAGGGATGGAGTAGAAATTATGGATCCCGAGTTGCTCACAGAAAGACTTGAAATGCCCGCCGGTGAATTGAGTCCCGTTATCCGACACCAGTGCCCGGGAAATCCCAAACCTGATGATTATGTTCTCCCAGACGAACTTTTTGGCATCTATGTCGCGGATATGAGTCAACGGCTCTGCCTCTACCCACTTGGTGAAATAATCCGTGGCCACAATGAGGAACTTCCTATTTCCCGGAGCCTTAGGCAGGGGTCCAACTAAATTGAGCCCCCACTGGACGAATGGCCAAGGGCTGGTCAAGGGGTATAAGTCCCCTGCGGGTTGCCTGATTGCAGGGGAGAACTTCTGACACTGGTCACATTTTTGGACGTATGCGCGTGCATCCCTTTGCATTTGTGGCCACCAATATCCCTGAGACATGATGCGGTATGTCATTGATCGCCTCCAGAGTGCCCCCCGCATATTCTTTCGTGTACTTCATAGAGAAGGTCTTGTACTTGGTCTTCTTGGACGCATAACAAGTAAGGTCCCGAGAAAGACCTCCAGTATAGTTTTTGATCCGGAGAGACCCAAAATCTGGGGGCTTTGAGTTTTATCTTCCTTGCTTCCTTTGAACACCCCGGGAGATCTCCTGTTGTTAGGAACTTGAGAAAGGGATCAATCCAGCTGGACGGCTTGTGTGCGTCCTGGATGACCATCGCCTCGGGAGCATGGTCTATGCAGGATGCGGGAAGATATTCAATGGTGATCCTGCGCTACTGGGAGGAATCCATCGCCGAGGCTAGACAAGCCAGGGCGTCGGCATGTGTGTTCTTGTCTCGGGACACTTGTTTGATTTCAATCCGGCCG